AGTGGTATCCCATCAAGCAAAGTGAAAATTATTTTAGGTCAGCTGAAAGGGAGAGCAAAAACTCTTCGAGCCCATCTCTCCTCAAAGGGCGTGACTGTCGTGACATCACAAGCTGCGTTGTGCACGACTTCCTGGCGCGGCTCCAGACCGACAGACCTTCTGCTGTCAGCGGGGTAGAGGTGGCCTAGGGCAAGGCCCCAATGGCCAGGTCACCAGCTTTTTTCCTCCTGCCTGGCACTAGCGCTGCAGGGTGGGGGTGACCTGCAGGATGGCAAGATGTCAGAAACAGCAGAAACGGCCCTTTAGACGTGTTAAAAAGCAGGCACAGCTAGAGGAAGCTGCTCAATGAGCACTGCGAGGACAGGGGGAGACCATTCAACAGACTGTCTGCCCAATAAACATAAAACAGCCTTGCAGCATTGTGTGTTCTAGGAAAATGAGCGAAACATAGAAAATGTTTTATATTAGTTTTTAATCTGTTGTGAACAGCAGGACAAACAGAAAAATGCATGATAAAACTGGTGAAAAACACTTGAAACAATGGCTCAATTATTTTTAAAATAAAGTTCTTGCCACAGTCTGTGTCTGTTGTGAGTGTTTTTTTTACTCTTGCTTTCTGTACTGTTTTTATATTTACCTCGTCCTGCCTGTCTTTGCTCCAACCCCGCCCACTCACCTGTTCCCCATGTTTGTCTCCCAGGTGTATCTTGTTTTAGCTCATTAGTTCTCCTTTATATTCTGTTCTGTCTTCAGTCTGGTGTCAGAGCTTTGTTTGTATCCTGTTCTCCACAGTCAGTGTTTTCTAGTTCCCAAGTACATTTTTGCTGCCACGCCAGAGTTTTAGTTTTTGTTAATAAAACCTTTTTTGTTGCAACCTTTTTTGGATCAATCTCATTGCTGTTCTGCAACTTGGGGTTCAAACCTGCCAAGCAAAAAAAAAAAAAAAAAATTTGTGATTTTATAATAGTTATAGGGAAAATATTACATCAGCAATTATTTTATTACCCTTTAAATTGATTTCTGGAGATTATCCAAGGTGCTTCATGACCCATAATTGGGTCCCAAGCCCAACTTTGGGAACCAAAGTGCAGTGGTTCCCAAACTTTTCAGCTTTTGACCCACAAAATAACAGTAGCAGAGACCTGTGCCCCCAGCTAATTTTGGATGATAATAAACATTTGTATCAGGTCAACAAAACATGGGCATAGTAACAATATTTTTATTCTACATTTATCCATTTTAAATATACTAACCTCACTCCTTTATAACAACTAAGGCAAAAATGTCATTAATTCTAAAAATCTTTTCAGGACCCCACCTTGGTGTTTCGGGACCCCACTTTGGGTCCCGACCCCAACTTTGGGAAACACTGCTCTACAACACAGTTTGAATTGGCTCTCCACGGTCCCAAGGCTTTTCCACTAGCAAAGATTTGTGGAACCAGCCCCTTGTTCAGAACATACTTTGCTGTGGTTCCAAGTGGACCATACTGCCCTGAAAACATGACATCAGAAGACTGTTAGTCACTGACTGGTTAGGGGGTGGAGTCACTGGTTACATCACAAGAGCTACTCTCACAACAACCCAATCCGCCATTTGAAATAACAACACTACCATGTCCTCCATTGTTGTGTTGCATATCTTTTTGGGGTCGTCAACTTCTACTATGTTTAATGGTAGCTGACAAATAGCAAAATGTATCATAACGGCCACCAGCTGATGAGGTGTGTGGTGTCAATTTCCTGACTCTGGGGCCACCCAACTTTACAATGAGCCCACCTTCTAGAGCTGTTACTGAAGTGTAAAGGAAAATAAACTGAACTGTGTTGAACGGAGTTCAGTCAAGTTGAACCGTGCTGCAGAGGTGCTAGTGGAAAAGGGGCAATAGAGTATACTGTCACCAGCGAGTTGTTTGTGCTACACAAAAAAAAAGGCGTTTTCCAACCTGAAGTACAGCATTGTGATTTCACATATTCTCTTTCTGGACATGTTTATTTTTCTATCCGGACTTTACTGTTGTGTAAGGATACATGTCAGATGTTTAACGATCTGTTCTTACGGTTTATATGGTTTTCTACTTTTGTAAATAGAAGCATAAACTTATGTTGTAAGTCATGTGACTGTGTCACCCATAAGCTAAGTCAGGCACTTTGACCAGATGCGGTGCAGGTGGAGAAAGATGTTTGTCACTCTTACTATTTTAATTTCTGCAAATGGACAAGCTGGGGAACACCTGGTGAATTTGAAAATAAAGGTTTAATTTCCATTTAAATTTACAAGTGCACATTTGACTGCATTTTAAATGACATCACCATCCAAAAAACTGCAGTTTTTTATTTTTTATTTTTACTATAAACGGCTATTATTGCCCTGGAAATGCTGCAGCTGACTGCTACTAACACTGTGCTTGCCAATAACCGCATAATTGTGTAAAAAAAGTGTAATATAAAATTGATAGAAACTTGTAGGTATAAAAAATAGCATTTTTATGAACATCTATGAAATGTTAGAAATTATAGTTGTTTAAAGGCAACAATAATCCACTCTGGCACTCTGGTGTATTGCAAAAACCTTTAGCATATCTATACGAGTCAGAGTTAAACTTTTATTTTTTTAAGCTAAGATCATTAAGAGCTATCTAGAATGGTGAAACATATATTAAATTACTCATGTAATCATGTTGCATGAGATTTAAAATATTGAGACTTTTATCCCAAATTGCAAGACACTCCCATCAACGCTCACAAGACAAAAGTTGACAGCCTCAACGAAAAAAGTGACAAAAGCTCACACACAAAAGAAAAAGAAAAACAAAACAAAACAAAAAACAGATGTAGTGCATTCACATTACATTTAAGTAAATGTAAAGCGAACACGGTAACTTGACTTAATTCAGCTGAGTGGAACAAGTGGACATATGTTTAAAGTAAATCCACTACATCTGTGTTTTAATGCTGTTTTGTTTGATTTTAGGTCTATTTGTGACACCTCAGAGTTGCTCCTACATTCCTTATTTTGAGTTTTTCTCACCTTCTAAACTTCCACACCTTATTTTTTCCTTTTCACCTGAGCACAACTGAGCAGTTACCGAGTGAGTTCCTTTAAGCAGTTCTTAACAGCACACAACACAGTGAACTGCATCACCTAATAAAGAGCACATGAACCTTAAAAACCTGCGCCAGGACTTGGCTGAACGTGGAGGACTTATTCCATAGAGTGGCACACTGCATCTGATGGTGTGTCATACAATTTGGGATAAAAATTTCAAGCAGTATTTTTGATTTCATAGCCTAAAACATGCTTACTCTTCTAATGTAATATTTGTGTATGATGTATGATAATACTTTGTGGTACAAATCTTGTGCTATTTTTTGTGATTATGTGTAGCTAACAAATGTTAGAATTTATGAGCTTGTGTCTTTTTTTTCAATAAGCTTATGTTAGGGACTCATCTGCAACAGGTAAGATAGTTTCCTTTATAGTCTTTCCACAAAAGCCTTATCTTAAAGATCAAAACTATTGAGTTTAAAATTGACTTATTATTCACGGTTTAATATAAAAATCAATGACTTAAGCAACACTGAGTCAGTTCTGCTTTTTACATAATTTCTTATACTAAAACAACCCTGAATGTTCTTTGGAGTTTTTAAGGTTTTGCTACTGTTAAACCAGAAAAATAAATAAATTAATTTAAAAAAAATCAGTCTAATGAAATTGGACCCATGAGTCCTTCTTAACAAACACTTAGTAAAATCACATTTTGGAGATGAAACTTAAAGAGATTTGTGAGGAAATGTGCTGCATGTGTCACTCTTGCTTTTGAGTCATTGTTTTTTGTTTTTTTTATATAATCAAAGCCTCTCATTACATGTGTCATTTTAAGAGGTTTGTTTTCCCCCCAATCTTTAAAACTTTAAAAAGGAGGAGACTTGCATGTTGTTTTTTGTTTCAACCCAATCCAAACTGACCCTACAAAGATTCAGGAGGATATCAATATGAATAGCAGCACAAACGATTGTGGGAAATGAGCCACTCAAGGCCCCCACCCACATTCACGAGCTACAATCACACAACTCCATTCCCTCCGTCGCCACAGCCAGCAGAAGTGTATTAGAGCACAGACTGCTTGCTGGCCCCGCAGTTTGGATTCGTCTTGTCTTTATGCGCAGCATGTTTATCTCAGAGGTGGGGACCTGCTCTGCCCCGAGCCCCCTCGCTGTCTTTGTCATGGAAATGTTGTCTCCGAGCAAACAGCAGAAGCTGAGCGTCGTCTGGTGCGGGGAGAAGAGAGTGAAGTGAAGTGGGCCATCAAGCTGTTAAAAAGGTGTGCCGTTAACGCAGCCTGGGCTTCCTTTGAAGCAAAGAATGACAAAACAGACGGGAGGGGGGGCTTGCAGGAGAAGCTTTTAGGAGCCAAGGCAAGAGTTGGACTGTGTGTGAATGGATCGACTTCATGCAGAAATTCTGAAAAAGCTGGAAGAGGTTGCGGGAGCATTCTGGGTAAATATTCCATGAAAAAACAGAGCAATTGAAAGAACTTTTTTTCTTAAAATGATCCAATACATTCAATCCCTCTTTGAACTTACGAGAGTTCGAACTGATAACCTAAATGTTCAGAGTTTATAACAGCGCAGCTGCTCAATCATCACACATTCTGACAGGTTATCAGATCCCTAAAACGAAATCAGAAGCACTCGTCGGGCTAACGTAGATCAGTTCAGGGCTGATTTTTGTCTCACTGCAAAATAAAAGCTAGAAGTTAGAAAAGTTTCCTTCAACATTTTTTTTCCCCTTACTGTGATTAAAATATATTAAATAAAGTAAAGCCAGCTGACATCATCCAGAGCCCGGTTGCCTGCGTGTGAATGTGAGAAGACGGATCAGGAGGAGCTGTGATGCTGAGGATCCCCCCCTGCCCCTCCCCTGGTGATCAGATCTGATAAAAAGAGCTGCTGTCTGCGGCTGCCATGGCCACAAGGAGAGATGAGCAGCTGAGAGCAGGACTCTGATCAGCACCACAAACTCCTCCGCAACACGGCGTTTACCTGAAAAACTCCACCTGGTTCTGGTCCATGAACCCAACAGGATGTTCCTCTCAGCCCAGCTCAGCGGCTCCTCGCAGAGGTCGAAGCTGTTTAAGACCCGTCTTCACGTCTGATGCCTCTGGACCCTGAACAGAAGGGAAAGAAACTTGGTAAGTTCATGATTAACTGCTTTATTTTTTACATGTCTAAATGTGCAAAGATTCATTTAAAACATTTGGTTTAACATGTTATTATTAAATATGGTGCTTAAAATGTTATGAGTTGTTTGGGTTCATTAGTTTCTTTTACATCTGATCCAAGGAACATCAAAAATCCTTTAAATAAATAAAACAAGTGTCTATTTTGTCCTGTTTAATGGTGACTCTCTTGCTAGAACAGAAAATAAAATAAGTGCATAAATAAGAATTAATTCACTTTAAACAGTGGTGGGATTTTTTTTTATTCTAAGAAAATAAATTTGTTTTATTTTCCTAATTTGTTTTAAAATTTGTTTTAAAAACACTAACGCATCATGGGTTAAAAACATGAATTGATATGCACCACAAATAAAATAAAACAAAAACTGAAGAGATATGCAGAAATAGTTTTTTTTTAATTGAAGCAGATTCTGATCTCTACTAGACTTCAGGTTTGTCACGTGATTTACCAAAAATTGGCCCCCAGGTTTATCTCATTAGAATAATAAGAAATGGATTTTTTTGTCAGAGGACGTTTTCAAAATTTAGATGCGCCGAAATTTCAAAACCAAACGTGTTTTAAATTCGAATTTAACCAACTTCACATTTGAGTTTTTAAAATAAAATAGTTTGTCCACAAAACAGCTAAATTTGCAACTAATTTGAAAAATTAAACACTGCATAAAGACTAAATTAGTTTCATAATATTTTACAGTAAAAATCATCATTTATTTTTGACTTGGTGCGCAAACATTTTCTTATTTTAGGCCGCAATCTCACCGTTTTCTTTGCCTGGGGGGGCCTTATTTTTCCTACCTGAAGCGACCAAAATACATTGAGCTTTTCCCCGTTTTTGTCTTTACCAACAGCTCAGACTCCAGCGGAGGCCTAAAGGAGGCATTTAAACAGAAAACCACTTTCTTACCGGAGCGGGGGAAGATTCGGGAGCGGTTTCATTAGAAACTAAAACTCCTGCCAGCACCTGAATCATGCTCGGGGATGAGGGGGACAGCGGCGCCTACTCCGCCGCTAAAGACGAGGAGAAGCGCGCGTCGCCAGCCGCGGATGGAGACGAGTCCGCTGCGGGTAACAGGTACCCGGAACAACACGGGATGGGTTCTGAGCGGTACTACATCCCGAACACCGTTTCGAAGCAGAACCCAGAAGCGTCGTTTTTCCCGTACACCCCGGGTGGGGCGGTGTACAGCCCGCCCGGCGCCGCCAGGTATCCCTCCTCTCTCCACCTGAGCACCGTGCTGCCTCCGGCCGGATATTCTCCCTCCGCACACTTCAGCCCGTCCTACCAGCACGGACAGAACCTCGGCTGCCTGTACCCGCCGTACACCGGCTCCGGGTCCGCGCTGAGCAACGTGACGCTGGGCGGCGGCGCGGGCCCCGGCCTCAGGGCCCAGGTCTACCTCTGCAACCGGCCGCTGTGGCTCAAGTTCCACCGGCACCAGACCGAGATGATCATCACCAAGCAGGGCAGGTGAGGCGGCTCGAGCCGGTCCAGGGGGAAAATGCCACTGCGGAAGGATTCTGTTTTGATTCTGGATGTCTTTGTTTCGTTTTCCAGGCGGATGTTCCCGTTCCTCAGCTTTAACATCGCGGGTCTGAACGTCGCGTCCCACTACAACGTGTTCGTGGAGGTGGTTCTGGCGGATCCGAACCACTGGAGGTTCCAGGGGGGCAAATGGGTCACCTGTGGGAAGGCGGACAACAGCAGTCAAGGTACAGAACCGCGACTCTAAGAGCTTTTTATTTTATGTTCATGCATTTAACTTCTTCTTAATTTAAAGATTAAACCATGCTGATTTTTCTCTCTCCCTCTCAACACACTGAGTCAACTCGTATTTTAAATTTAATTTTAAGTTCAAAAAATGTTTATTTTTTTTTTATTTTTATTGTTTTATTTTAGGGAACAAAGTTTACATCCATCCAGAGTCGCCGAACACAGGGGCCCACTGGATGAGACAAGAAATCTCCTTCAGCAAACTCAAACTCACAAACAACAAGGGAACCAACCACAACACGTCCCAGGTAAACACAACCAAATAAGACTAAACATGTTTACTCATCACTCAAAAAAAAAAATTTTTAACATCAAAATAAAAGTCATTTAATTAAACTAAGTTGATACTTAGTTTTTTTTAAATAATCTTTATAATGAATGCATGGTTAATGGAAAAAAATCGTATTTGTTTTTACCTATTTTTCCTCCCTGTTTTAAATATGTGGAGGAAAATAGCCAAAAAGCACCTAAATTACATTTTAGTATTTATAGTAAGTTATAAATAAATATAAAAATTAAATAAGACTTGGTGTTTTTCATGGAACAAAAAAAAAAAAAAGAAAAAAAAGCCCCTGAAAGTCCTTTTCTCACACGTGATGCGTGCAGACCAACGTGATATTATGAAGCTACACTCCTAAAAAATAATAATAATATAAAAAAGTGTTGAATTTACGAGTTGTTTTAGCTTGATAAAGTAAATTCAATCCTTCTTTTATTTGACTTTTCTCCCCCGGTTTTGTTGAACCTCCTGCAGATGATCGTCCTGCAGTCTCTGCATAAGTACCAGCCTCGGCTGCACATCGTGGAGGTGTCTGAGGACGGGGTGGAGGACCTCAACAGTGACGTTAAAACCCAGTGTTTTACTTTTCCTGAGACCCAGTTTATTGCGGTCACTGCCTACCAGAACACTGATGTGAGTGCACAATGAAATCCCACCGTACTTCAGCAAAAACTGCTTATATATATATATATATATATACTTTAAATAAAATATTTTAGAGTGTAAATTACCTGCCTTATACCTGATTATATTTGAACAACCTGAACTCATGTTTTCCTTTAATATATTTTAATGGTTTAGATAACGCAGCTGAAAATTGATCACAACCCTTTTGCAAAAGGATTCAGAGATAACTACGACTCGTGAGTATTTGATGTATTTTCACATATTTTGAAAGTACATTTGCTACATATTTCTGTCTCTTTAGCTCTTGTTTTTTTTTTGTTTTTTTTCTCCCCCCAAGGATGTACACAGCTCCAGAGAGCGACCGCCTCACCCCATCTCCCAACGACTCCCCCCGCGCCCACCAAATTGTCCCCGGCACCCGCTACACAATGCAGCCCCTCTTCCAGGACCAGTTCGTCAACAACCTCCCCCAGAACCGCTTCTACAACTGCGAGAGGGCCGTGCCGCAGACCAACGGCCTGCTCTCGGCCCCGACCGAGGACGGCGTGTCGCAGCGGTGGTTTGTCGCCTCCGTGCAGCAGGGGGGGAGCGGCGGCGTGAGCGCCGGCAGCAAGCTCGACCTGACGCCCTACGAGGGCGAGTACTCGGGCTCGCTCCTCCCGTACGGCATCAAGTCGCTGTCCATGCAGACCACGCACTCGCTCGGCTACTACCCGGACTCTCCGTTCACCGCCGTGTCCGCGGGGTGGGGGTCCAGAGCAGCGTACCAAAGAAAAATGCCCCCCAGCCTGCCGTGGTCGCCCAGGCCCAGCCCTGCGGCGGGCTTCTCCGAGGAGCTGGGGAAAGCTAAAGCGCAGACTGACGAGGAGGTGCACAGCGGCGAAGCCCTGATCAGCTCGTGGACAGAGGGCCAGGCTTCAGCTCTGTCCCCCAACAAGCCAGAGTCCTACTCTGTCACCTGCAAGCGACAGCGTTTGTCTCTAAACGGCCCGAGCGCGGACATCAAGTGTGAAGACTTGTCCTCCAGTGGCTCCTACAGTAAAGAAGCCCCCCCAACCAAAGGCATGGCTTCTTACTACTCCTTTTACGCAAACCCCTGAGTTTTTTTTTCTTTTATTGTTTTTTTTAAATCAAAGCTCATTTGTTTCACCTGCCACAGTAAAGAAGAGCTACTAGTTTACTTTTGTTGCGTGACAGCCATTCATTTTGTTTTTGGCAGTGATAAATGTTTGAACTAAAGAGACGGCACAATAAGCTTTAACATCTTAAATCATTGTGTTTGGTGTTTTAAGCTGCCTTATTTTTTTTAAATATTTTTTTAAAGCTGTGTGGTGAATATTTTCTTGCTGCATACATTGTTTTGTGTAACTTTACATTGAGATGACATGTTTACAGATTATTTATTGAAGGCCTGTTTATAATGTGTGCGCACTCTTAAAAGATGAGAATAAAATGCTATATACAGCCTCACTGCAAAAGCTCAAATATTTGATAATAAAAGGCATACGTGTCCTGTTTCACATCTATTTATTTTGACTACAAAAAACAGATTTGCTCCCGTTTCAATGCATTTTTTAATTTTTTTTTATTTAAATTTCATGGGTTAATGTCTTCATTCTGTTTATATGAATTTTAACTGTTAGTATGATGCTTGCAAATACTTAACATGACTTTTGTAATTAAAATGCACGCTGAAGGAAGGCTACTCTTTCTGCGGACTTTGCCGCCATCTAGTGGTCAGTTTTTGTTATTGCACCAACAGCTCTGAAAAATTACCAAATAAAACTCCTATTTTTTAAATGATTACTTTATAAAAGCGAAAAAAACAGGTAAGTAGTCTGATTTTTTGTGTAAATGAAAACATGGAGGCTTCACAAATGTGTGTTATGAACAAAACTGAGTATTATAGCGCTTTGATGTAATAGGCTTACAATGAGAACTTGTGCTTGTTTTGCCACAGCTTGTTCAGTCCAAAATGTCAGAGAAGGACATGAATACTGTTGCCTTTGGAGCTCTTGTATTACTTAGCTATAGACTCAAAAGTCCCATTTGTGTCAGAGGCTCCATGGTCCCCAAGTGTCAACGTATTGTTTTATAATGACAAAACATCATTTGGATAGAAGAGAAATAACTATCTAAAATAGAAAAGCCAAATGAGACGATTCTGTTTCTCTCCATTGTAAAAAGCTTTTCCCAACACGTTCAAACTGATTTTAAACGTGGCCCTGTAATTTAAACTAATGGGTTATTAAGAAGTACACCATATTTTCCTGGAGACTGGTTAAAAATCTGTAAAGTAAGTGCAAAATGTGCACAGTTCCTTACTTATACTGATAGTTTCTGTGTCTAACAATACAGAGTTGTAAAGTAACTAAGTACAAATACTTTGTTACTGTGCTTAAGTAGAATTTTTGGGTATCTGTACTTTACTTGAGTAATTATTTTTCAGCATACTTTTTACTCTTACTGATTACATTTTTACACAATTGTACTTTCTACTCGCTACATTTAAAAAAAGTAAGAAGTTGAAAGTCATTTCACCTTTTTTATTCCGAGTTGTTATTACTTTAAAAAATACTAATATCCTGATAAATTGTCTGCTGCATAAAGTGAATTTAATTGTTGCTGGACGAGAAGTATAAATATAAACCATTCTGACACCCTATTATCTTGTACACAACCCATCACAGCTGCACACCATTATAAAAAAATATTTTTTTGAGAAGTCACCTCCCAATAAATGTCATTTTGGAAAATCTAACTGCTCACTTTTACTCAGTACTTTTAATTCTTAAGTAGATTTTGTGTCAGACATTTACTTTTGACACTTAAGTACAAAAAATATCAGATACTTTAAGAGTTTTACCCAAGTAATATTTTTAGAGAAGACTTTAACTTTTACCAAAGTATTTTTATGATAAGATACTTGTACTTTTACTCAAGTATCACTTTGAGGTACTTTATACAACACTGTAAAAATAAAAACTTTAGTCAAATTTTGTGACCGGATGCCACAAAATGTGCCTACAAAAACAGCCAAAGTGACTGAAAACAGGTAAACAATGGAAGAGCTGTTTGGGATGGAGAAGTCAGATCATTTTGATGAATTAAAACATATTTACACAAAGATTTGTTGGGTAAGACAAGTGAATAAAAGTGCTGTGTTTATATTAAGTACGAGCCCGCATCATCATCATCAGAATATCAACATGTTTGGAAAACTGGAGCAAACTTTTCCAAAACACATTTTTAAATACAGGTCAGGTTAAACTTTTTATGTTGGATCTCATAAATAACTTTAACAAGCCTTGCAGATGCTGGCGAGGAGATGACTCAGCCATTTAAATCGTGTTGTATAAAGCTCGAGAGTTATTTAATGACTCTATATATGTTGTATAATGCAATAATAGTTCCACACCTCATATATTGTATTGAAATATGGGGAAAAGCATGTAAAACGATAATAAACCCCATTTTTATTTTGCAGAAAAGAGCAATAAGAGTTATTACTAGAAAACACTACAGTCACCCATCAAATATATTGTTTTGTCAATTGGAGTTATTAAAACTTCATGAGTTGCTTGATTACAGTATTCTACAGCTTGTGTTTAAGGCTCATAAAAACACGCTACGTTTGAATATATAGTTCAATTTTGTTAAAAGAGAAAGCTCCTATAACTTAAAGGGAAATGAAATATTTGTGAAGCATAGATTTCGAACAAGTTTGAGGGAACGGGGTACGTCGATACAGGGAGTGAAATTATGGAGAGTGATGTTAGAAATGCTGGATCGTTTGTGTTTAAAAGAATGATTAAACTTGGTTTATTGAACAAATATAAATTAGAATAAGGGGTCTTTATGTAAGTTTTATTTCTTGCTGTTTCTGTTTTGTTGTATTTTTATAACCAGAAGATTAAAAAGAAAAAAAATTGTATAGGTCTTCTGGACGGGTTCTTCTTTAATGAAACGTTTCGTCTCTCCTCCAAGAGACTTCTTCAGTCTGAGAGTTTCAGGCAAAATTCAGGCTTTTAAAGGCTGTTCAAAAGAATGTCCCAACAC